TCTCGATCTCCTGACCTCGTGATCCGCCCGTCTCGGCCTCCCAAAGTGCTGGGATTACAGGCTTGAGCCACCGCGCCCGGCCGTGTTTTTGTCTTTTGTCCACTTTTTAATAGGCTTGTTTTTTTCCTTGTGAATTTGTTTAAAGTCCTTGTAGATTCTGGATATCAGACCTGTGTCAGATGTGTATTTTCTCCCATTCTTTAGGTTGACTGTTTACTCTATTGATGGTTTATTTTGCTGTGCAGAAGCTCTTAAATTGAATTAGATCCCATTTGTCAAATTTTGCCTTTTTGCAATTGCTTTTGGTGTCTTTGTCATGAAATATTTGCCCAAGGTGGTATTTCCTAGGCTGTCTTCCAGGGTTTTTATAGTTTTGGGTTTTATATTTAAGTCTTTTTTTTTTTCTTTCTTTCTTTTTTTTTAAGAGAGAGACAGGGTCTCACTATGTTACCAGGATGGTCTTGAATTACTGGACTCAAGTGATCCTCCCACCTTGGCCTCCCAAAGTGCTGGGATTACAGGCAAGAGGCACTGCGCCCAGCCTCTCTGATTTCTTTGAGCAGTGCTTTGTAATTCTCATTGTAAAGATCTTTCACCTCCCTGGTTAGCTCTATTCCTAGATATTTTATTCTTTTTGTGGCGATTATGAATGGGATTGCATTCCTGATTTGGCTCTTGGCTTGGCTCTTGTTGGTGTATAGGAATGCTAGTGATTTTTGTAAATTGATTTTGTATCCTGAAACTTTGCTGAAGTTGTTTACCAGCTGAGGGAGCTTTTGGGCCAAAGAAGTGATGTTTCTTTCTTAGTGCATGGCATCAAGAAGCAGATGGTGTCAGTTTGTCTCATTATTAGTGATGTTTAACTTCAATCACTTGATTTAGTGGTATCTATCAGATTTCTCTACTGTAAAGTTATCTTTTTTCCCTTTTGTAATTAGTAAGTAATTTGTGGGGAGATATTTTGAAATTATCTAAAATCCTATTCCTTATTAAACCTGGACTCACTAACATTCATTTATGATTCTTGACTGAATCATTAGTATGATGGTTGTAAAATGATAATTTTTCAAATCTATCATTCCTTCTCCATTTATTTAGTTAGCATTCTATTGCAAAGAAGAGCTTTTTCTCCTCCCGTATTTGTTAGAATGTACTCGACAGGCACAGTGGGTCACTCCTGTAATCTTAGCATTTTGGGAGGCTGAGTTGGGATGATTTCTTAAGCACATGAGTTTTAGACCAGCCTGGGCAACATAACAAGACCCCATCTTGACAAAAAATTTAGAAATTAGCTGATCCTCAAGCCTGCAGTGGGCTGTTATCATGCCACTGCACTCCATACTGGGCAACAGAGCGAGACTCTGTGTCAAAAAGTAAAAAACTCAAAAAAAAAAAAAAAAAATTAGCTGGTGTGGTGGGCATGCATCTGTAGTCCGAACTACTTGGAGGGGCTGGATGCAGGAGAATCCCTTGGAATTCAGGAGGTATAGGTGTGCAATGAGCTGAGATCGCATCACTGCACTCCAGCCTGCACAACAGAGACAGACTCTGTCTCAACAAACAAAAAGTTTGCTAGGAGTCTACCTTTAATTGCAATAACACATTTTTTTGTTGTTGGTTGTTTGGGTAGAGTTCCACACTCTGTCGACGCAAGGTTGGAGATGCAGTGACCGCAATCTTGGCTATTACTGGCAATCTGCTACCTCCTGTATTGCCAAGCGATTCTCCCTGCCTCAGCCCTCCCGAGTAGCTGAGATCACAGGCACCACCCCACAGGCTGGTGGGCCTAATTGTGGTCTGTGGGTGTGTGTGTGTGTGTGTGTGTGTGTGTTATATATGGATGGTATGTATGTGTATATATATATATGCACCAGCACACACGTATATATACACACATAAGGATTCATACAGCCACACACACAGCACATATATATATATATATTTTTTTGAGATGGAGCTCTCTCCGCGTAGCCCAGGCTAGAGTGCAGTGGTGTGATCTCGGCTCACTGTAACCTCTGCCTCCTTGGTTTAAGTGATTCTTCTGCCTCAGACTCCCT